GGGAACATCCCAGGCCAGGTTGGACGGGGCTGTGAGCAACCTGGTCTGGTTAAAGGTGTCCCTGCTCCTGCGGGGGGGTTGGGCTGGGTGACCTCTGGGGGTCCCTTCCCACCCAACCATTCCATGATTCTATGAAAACATTCTATGATAAACCCACTGCCCTTTGTGACAGCTGATCCTCCCCCATCCTTACGCCTTTACACCAGTACACTTCTAGGGAACGGCGATGTGTTTACGGTTGCTTTAGGAGTCCTCCCAGTGACCCTTCAGCTCTAAGTGAAACCCAAACAAAAGACAGGAAAGCAGCCTCTGGAGCTGGGAGCCTCAACACAAGGAAGGCTTAGAGGCCAAGTATCCCAATCACCACAAGAGTGAGGAGGTCTGGGCAGGACGCAGCCCTGGCACTGGCCAGGCTTGTCCTTGTCAATGGAACGTAGCGTAGAGGTCTCTGATCTAGCACCACAGACCTACGCTGGCGACGGCACGGCATGGTGCTACGTCAGCTCAACGAACACAGGCTGTAGCTAGCCACAATCCAATCTACAGCGAGCCAGCTCAGATCTGCACACGCTGCGCCATCCTGTGCTTCTGAAGCTTGTGTGGGCAGAGAAAGCTCAACCCATCTGCTCTTGCTGGGGCAGACAGGTTCTCGGCGCCTGCCTGACTGCTGCCCACCTTCAAGCTTCAGCTTCTCCGTCACTGCCCACAGTGACGATGGATGGGGATCATCTCTGCAGAGCACTGCGTATCACTTTTCTGGGAGCTGGCTGCTTCCAGGCACCGCAGCCTGAGCTGCAAGGACAGAGCTTGCACAAAAACTTCCTTCCCATGGCCAAAACCCCAGGGGCATTGTGAAGGCCAAGTGCCCTTCCATTTTTGGGGGCATCAGCCTGCACAACCTGAGTAGCTGTGGGCGCCCAGTGAGTTGATGCAGAGGATTCCTTGTAGGAGAAGGGTTGTGACCGTACACATACAAGCAATGCACACAGGCACGGCTGCTTCCTTCAAGAGCGGCCTCTTGTAGGCAACTCCTGGCTCTCAGAGGCACAAGCCCAGGACAGGACATCACTTCTAGCAAGATGTGGATTTTCTGGGCTTCCACACCCCACGGTTTGTCTCATTCTAGGCCTACCTGGGACTCCAGCAGCCCATCTACAAAGGGGCCAGACGACTCTTCGCATACAGCCAAACTCCTGACCAGTTTAAGCTTCGAATTAGACTGGAGAAGGAAAAGAAAAAGTATAGTTAAGACACCTCAGCCAAAATGTACACGCTTAAGTTCACGCTGCTGCATGACCAAGCCACTCATGCCGTCCTCGTTAATTAAACTGCTCAAAAGGAGGACTGCCAAGACAGCTTCCTGCAGCAAACAGGAATATACAGAAGCCTGGAGTCCTAGAGTAAATGAACTATTTTCTTCCTCCAGTCTTCAGTTAGGATTTGAACCAACCAAATTCTAGGTGAGAAAGTTCACTGCCTTAATCCATGCACTCTTTGACCTCTTCAGCCAGAGCAATCCCAGCCTCTCCCCGCCTCACCTGGCAAGAATTAAAACCATTAACAAAGGATACAGCTGAAACCAACTATTTTATTGGGTTTTAAGATGCGAAAGCTGTTACTGTTCTTCATTAAAAGGTTGTCATCCCACTTGCACCTCGCCTGTCTGACCTGACGGCTGGTTATTTTCGTAATGTAGTAGTGCTGAGAGAAAATGCTTAAAATAAACCCTGCGCTTTCAGGACTCCTGGCAAGTTGACTCCCTAGGCTGAGAAATAGGAAAAAATATATCAGCCAGCCACATGAGATCCCAGGTGGGATCAACAATACGGAGAAAGGCCCGAGGTGCCCCTTCTGCCCTAGGTATGGGCAGGGCAGGAACTGGAATCGCAGCCCATTCAGGTACTTAAGCCAGTCCTGGCTTTTAAGACCAAACGGAACCATTAAAATATCTTTTTCTGAACACTCTGTAGGTCCTAAGCAGCACAAGTGGGCGGGGAGTGATGGAGCGGCTTGGTGGCACCTGGTGTCCAGCCGAGGCCAACCCATCACACCTTCATGTGTTACTTCCATCAAACCAGGCAGAACCCCCGTCGCAAATTTAACTGGCCTCCCCTCTCTCCCATGCCTCGGGGCAGAACCTGCCTTCATCTGAGTCTGAACTTTTGCAAAAGATAAAAAAAAAGGGGGGGGGGAGGGAGGCAAAGTGGAGGGGAAGAGACCTTCTCCCTCTCAATCACAGTTTTAAAATCAAGCACAGGGCAACCTAATCAGATGTCATAGCTGGCCCTCTTTTGGGTAGGAGGCTGGACTAAGTGAATCCTGGCTAGACTAGATGGACTCCTGAATTATGTGATGTTTCTGTAACTGCCAAGCCTGCAGAATTCATGGCTACTTTCGATGAACTGCTTCAGTAGGTAGCAGAGAAAAACTGGCGTTAAGGCTAAGAAAGGTTAAAAAAAAATAATTAAAAAAAAAAAAAAAAATCACACAATGGCTCCATTTTTACCCTGAGATTTTGCCTACAAACGTTCTAGAACAGCGGTGTCCTGGTGCTTACTACTAGTTTTGGATTCACTAATAGCACATGCCATCGCTACGGGAGCAAACGTGGTATTCCCGGGAGAACAGGGGCCTTGCATGAAACCAGACAGTTACACTTAACTCTGGTTTTTAACTGGAGGGTGTTGACAGGCCAGTGCACGGCCCCGTCCCTCCGGTGACACCTCTGAATTTCATTTCTGGCATTTTGGGCTCTGGGGAAGGGACAAGCGTGGCAGTTAGTAGCAGCAACCAGTTTGTTCACGGGTAAGTGTGTGTTAAAGGATGGAGAGCAGCCCTGCCGAGAGGGACCTGGGGGTGCTGGTGGATGAAAAGCTGGCCATGAGCTGGCCATGGGCGCTGGCAGCCCAGAAGTCAACCCTACCCTGGGCTGCATCAGGAGAAGCGTGGACAGCAGGTTGAGGGAGGTGATTCTGCCCCTCTGCTCTGCTCTGGTGAGACCTCCCCTGGAGCCCTGCGTCCAGCTCTGGAGCCCTCAGCACAAGAAGGACATGGACCTGTTGGAGTGGGTCCAGAGGAGGGCTACTAAAATGATCCGGGGGCTGGAGCCCCTCTCCTATGAGGACAGGCTGAGGGAGCTGGGCTTGTTCAACCTGGAGAAGAGAAGGCTGCGGGGAGACCTGATTGCAGCCTTTCAGTACCTAAAGGGGGCCTATAGGAAAGATGGGGAAAATCTTTTTAGTAGGGCCAGCAGTGACAAGACAAGGGGTAATGGTTTTAAACTAAACCAGGGTAGGTTTAGACTAGATATAAGGAAGAAGTTCTTTACAATGAGGGTGGTGAAACCCTGGCAGGGGTTGCCCAGAGAGGTGGTGGAGGCCCCATCCCTGGAAACATTCAAGGCCAGGTTGGATGGGGCTCTGAGCAGCCTGATCTAGTTAGCGGTGTCCCTGCTCCTGCGGGGGGGTTGGACTAGATGACCTCTAGGGGTCCCTTCCAACCCAAAACATTCTATGATTCTATGATTAAAAAGGAGCACTCGTGCCCCAGTGCATGGAAAGTGACCGTCCTGAACCACCACGCGCTGCGCATCGCTTCTGGAGACGGGAACGTCTCGAGATTCTCATCCTAAGGTTGGGATCCTAACTCAGAACGGCCAAAAGGACAACGGGATGTCAAAAGCGGTCATACCTTGGCTCTTTTTCTGGCATGTCCATGACTTGAAGTTCGCCTCTGTGAAGAAAGGAAAGAGAAGTCAAGAAGCTTTACCCGACTGCATCCCCTGTACACGGCATTTGCTGCGCAAGGCAGCACAACGCTGACAGCAAGGGCAGCCTGAGCAAACAGGGGGACCCGGATCAGGCCCCAGGTGGGCAACAACTGCTTAAGAAGCTTCTCAAGGATTAGACCCAGTTCCTCTGTTTCTGATGGAACCAGCACAACTGTGGGATCCGGGGGGATCCGGGAGGAGGTGCACGACACACTTCTCAGTGGGAACGCTACAAGTCTTTCACCATTCCTGGGACACGGAGGGGATTCTAACACAGCGGATCATGAGACGCAACGCTGCTCTGATTTAAGAGACACTTGAGTCATCTGTTACCCCCACCTTCTAAGAAACCTTCCCCCATTCCATATTACAAAATCACCAAAGTCAGGCTCTGTCTGAGCAACACTGGTGCCTGCCCATGCAGCGGCTGAACAAATCTGGCGCCAGCCACCAGCTGTAAATGCAGAAGGATTCAGCAGGTTGTTGAGGGTGGGCATTTCTTCAAGCTCAACACTAAGCCAAAAGCTCAGGTGCTGGGAGAGCAGAGGAATTAGTGCCAGCACCCTCCAAATGATGCTTGCACAGATTTTTTTTTTTTCCCCCTTGCTGAAACGAAATCCCAAAGCGTTCTCTTCCTATTAGTGCATTTTTAACAGCAGCAAAGCAATGGCCAAGCACCATTCCTGAAACGGAGCTCTCCCCGGGATGCCTTTACTTCACATTAAGTCATTAACCCATCCTTAGGTCAAAGAAAAGAATAAGAGGGAGGTTTTAGCAAGTTGTCTTTTGAGAGAGACTTTGGAAGATGACAATTCATCCTCTCGCTTCAGAGTAGTCTCTCTTTTATATATAATTTTTTCCCTTATCTTTTTATATTTATATATATATATAAATATATATATATATAAATATATATAAAATAACAGCCAGGGGAGGAAAACTCGGGGACGGAGCACAACTGCCCCTGGGAGCACACCAGTCTCATTTCCTCCCGGGCTCAAAGAGTGTTTAAATAGTTCCACTCCGAGCAGAACAGATCCAGCTAAAGAGAAAGAGAGCAGCCTGGGACCACCAGAGTCAGCACACGCCATACGCATGGCATCCCCCTGGGAGGTGGGAGCACAGGCTTAGGCCCCTTTTGGAAATGATAGCAACCAGAAAGAGAGGGCCCAGCCCCACAAGCTGGCCGAAGGGGGCTTGTCTGCACACTTACCTGGGATTCCTGGCGCACGCTGACCTCCTCCCCCCCATCCTTCTCCACCTCCTCCTTGCTCGGTGACCTGGATACATATTTGGTTTTGTTCACAGATTCCTCAACCACCTTTTTTTCAGACTCCTTCATTATTTCCAGAGACTCCTGGGTTGTGTTGCTGTTTGACATCTTCAGAGCCCTAGAAGGTAGCGATGGGCACCTGCCAGAAGAGGCGACAGAACGGGCAGAAGGAAGTCAGGGGGTGGAGAGTGTTTCTATCTGGAACATAAACTTCTGCATATACAGGCTGTAGCTTCCTTGAAACTCATCTTGGGTGCAAAGACCCCAAACCAAGCGCTCCAGCGGCAGCCCACCCGCTCATCCCCTTGGACACCCCTTGCAGCACCTGGCAGTAGCTCCATGGTTCTCACCAGGACTTTGGAGATGCTAGCAGGGCAGAACAAAGCCTCTGAGATACACAGAGGTCCCCGGTGCAGACATTCTGCCCTCCGACTTCTCTGATGCGAGGAAGAGACCGAGGGTAGTCCTAATGCTAGCAAACATCCAGCGGCAGGGAATTCCGTAGGTGAAGGAGACTCAAGCAACCAGAGCGGGCGTGCTCAGCCCCAGGACAAACAACAACATCAACATCTGCATCTTTTCCCCAAATCCCAGCCCAGTCCTTCTTGCAATCAGTGAAGTCTTTAGTGAGAAAACAGCCTCGCACCCAAGACCTTGCTCTGGTTCTTCCTGTGGAATAAGGAAACCCCTGCCACCTTCCCTCTCGACGCCTACGGGTAGACGCTTCAGGAAAAGGGGGAGTCAAACAATAACGGTCAAATTACAGATTAAGGTGAAAAAACAATGCTTTCTGACAAAGTCGCATCGAACTGTTTCCTTTTAACTAGCAAGAGGACAGGCAGCCCACAGAGCCCCTGACACCACCTCTGGATCAGCACAGATCCTAGACAGGGCAGCAGCATGTGCCTTGGTCCACTGATGGTCGTGAACAGGAGCAATGAACACATCCCAGATCTGATCACCAAATGAAGTGTTGATTCCAACTGGAACATTCTGGAACCGGAACGTTCTGGAACCGGAACTCAACTCAAAGCGGGCCCCTCCGAGCCTGATCGCGGGCTAAACCAGCTCCCATAGGACTGCAGAGGGATCCTGGTACCACGGAACACGTTTGTGGAGATGCTGCAGAACCCAATATTCATCCTGGTGACAGAGGAGAAGGCCGGATAAAGGCAGGATAAGAGGCAGGCCCATTGAGACAAGTTTCCGAAAAGAAAAGGGGAAGCCTAAATTTGAGAGAGGCTCAAACGAAAAGCCTAGGCTCTAGAAAACACAGCTGATGTTTAACAACTTGTTTTATTAATTACTTTGGCAGAACACGGCTGAGAGAGAGTCAGGTCTTACAGAAATTTATTGACTCTTGGCTCTGCATGGGAACTGCTACTATTCATTAACGAATTCAACCTCCTTCCCCTTTAATTTGTGGGGCCACTGAACATAAACCATGTATTTGACTCTGATTGCAGCTACTGGAATCAGTTCCAGATACAGAAAGCGAGAGCGCACCCATCGACTGCTTCTAGTTCATGGATTCGTACAGGGACTTGTAGCAAACTTGTTGAGACATCCAGGGCAGATGCCCCGTTGTGAACGGAGACTGGAGCATCTCCCCTAGGAGGAATGGCTGAGGGAGCTGGGCTTGTTCAGCCTGGAGAAGAGAAGGCTGAGAGGGGATCTCATCAACACCTACAAATATCTCAAGGGTGGGGGTCACGAGGACGGAGCCAGACTCTTCCCAGTGGTGCCCAGCTGCCCAGGGGGGCTGTGGAGTCTCCTTCTCTGGAGATCTTCAACCCCCGCCTGGCCGCTGTCCTGTGCCCCCTGCTCTGGGTGAGCCTGCTTGGGCAGGGGGGTGGAAATGGGTGAGCTCCGAAGGTCCCTTCCAACCCGGCCATGCTGGGATTCTGTGAAATGCTCTGCGTCACAGGCAAACCTCCGTGGCAGGGCTGCAGCCAGGGAACCATGCAGCAAGCGTGCCTGGGAGATGCCAGCACCGCACTGGATCCGAGCAAGAGGATGGGACGGGATGGGACACTAACTGACACGAGGAGGAAGCTCCTTCGCTCTCCTTCACACCTATCACCACCCGTTCTGGGCTTAGGATGAGCCTTTCCCCCAGCAAAAAGACTCGTGCTGTCAGTTCAGTGTCACAGATGGGAAAACCAGGGAAGGAAAAAGTTACTTCAACCCAAGGCCTTGATGAGTAAGTGGCACCCTGAGGTGGGGTGGGGAATGCCCCCGATGACCCCAGAAAATTCACAGAAAAAGGGTGCAAGGAAAGCAACAAAAGCTGGCACGGATGAAGGGGACAGGGCCACGCCGTCCAGTTTATGCACAGGAACCAGTGCGTTTCAAGGCAGACGCGTGTGTCCGTGGGAGAGCGACGGTGGGTGCTATGGAACGAGAGAGGCAAGCAGACACATTCCAGCACGGTATGAAAACACGGTGTTTTTCTGCTGGAAGACTCCAGCCGCTGTTCGTGCGCCTTTGTTCCGGAGAAGGAAGGTCACAAGAAACCCACTGTTAATTCCGTAAAGCGACTTCCCAAATAGAACAGCTGGAAGGGTGAAGATGAGGGGGCCGAAGGCTCTCTTCTCACCCAACGGGCAATGCTGAGCAAGCGTAACTGGGCAAGGTCCCCGCGCCCGCCGCAGTGCTGAGCCAGGCTCCTCCAGCCCAGCACCATCACGCCGTACCAGGCAGGCTGTCCCACAACCAAACTGGTGGCTCCTGGCAGAAAATATTTGCCATCGATAGCTTGTGACAGCAAGGGAACACGAAAGCAGCCCGCTGTTGATGTCAGCCTTGCAAGACGATTCGGCAAACGCCTCTCCCTTCTGGCTGCTAACCACTTCCAAGCGCGTCCGTGGCTTCAAATGCCGGGTGAGGAGCGGGCGAGAGCACCTCGATCCGCTATTCTGACCGCCGATCAGCGCAGATCCTTGCGCTGCCGGGATCATTTGCTGCTCCCCGCCGCTTCCAGGCACGGTCCCACGGGACAGCGTGCGGATGATCCCATTGCAGGCGTCTCCTGGAGCAGCTCTGCAGGAAGCAGCTTCCCTCGGGAACCACTGAGGCATCCATCCTCCAGGTGCAAGGGGCTGCTCTTCATCCCGGCAGGCTGGGTATCCATCCTGTAGCTGCCGAAAGGAATTGCAATGGAGCTCCCAGGTTTATAGCAAGCGTGCTGCGTGGGGCGGCGAGCCCCCGCCCGAGGGAGTCATGCTCTGCTGCGACGCCTCCGGCAGGAACTGGGGCAGAAAAGGAAACGGGAACGCTTGCTCGATTTGCACACCCGCCTCCTTCGTGGGAGTCTGGATTAATGCAGGGGGTAAAGCTGGGAAACTCTGCCTCCCCCCCCTCCCCAAAACATTTCATGCTGCAGGAAACTGCTCCAGCCTTGTGTCCAGGTCAGGGCATGGCTTGGAAACAAGCCAGGAGGATCTGTAGCAGATTTGGGGAAGAGAGGCAGAAGGGGGCACCTGAATTGCACACCACACACATCTGAAGGGGGAATTTCTGCCCTAAAATAAAGGACAGGTTTCAAACAGCCCGTTCTCTGTGCACCAGCCACCCTATAACAAGTCTTTACCCCCAAGCCAAGCACCCCAGTCAAATTTGGGAAAGGAAGCGGGATCTTTTCTCATCATAGTGCAACGTGACTTCGGCATCACAAGGGGAATATCCCGAATTTTTTTCCCTCTCCTCTTGCAGAAAGGAAGAGTCAGAGCCACTGATTTGACATCTGTAGGCTGCCCCCTCCTGGTAAAGCTTCCATCCCCGACAGCAGTCCTCCAGGATCTCTCCCTGCACAGAAAATCCAAAGATTTGTGCACTGCTGGGGCTCCTCGGTAGTGATGCTTTCAAGAGGAGGTTTCCTTTCGGTATGAATGAATCAGCCCTGCTCCCCCAGGCCAGGCGTGGGACGCAGCGAGGGGGCGGCAGACGTGATCCGCTGCGACAGACAGCGGCTTGCAGAAAAAACTGGAAGTTCAGAGGACTTGGTGGGGTGGGTGGGACTGAGCCGTGCCTTGCCAGGGAGATGAAAAGATTACACAGATGCAGCATTAGGGAAGCCACAAAATCTGTGTCAGAAAAAAAAATAATAAAGAGAACAACGGAGCAACAGAAGGTGGGAGCTGCTGCTGATTTTTTGGGTTGGGGCTGGAGGCTGGCAAAGCCAACGGGCCGGTCATGGCCAAGGGCCAAGCGAAGGGGCAGCCAGGACAGACTGACATCCTCCTCTTCCCCCCAAAGGGGAAGGCTGAATTCCACCTCTGCTGCCTTCTCCCTACGTGCAATTTGCAGCCGCCAAGCCGTGAGAACGCAGGCAGCAGCTGGTCCTCCCTAGGCAGGGAATAAAAGCAAGGAAGTTATGCATTGACAGCTCGGATGGATCCAGCAGCAAAGCTGGGCAAGGCGGGGAGCCTGCTGCTAAATATGCTCTCCTCCCAGCCTTGTTCCTCAGGGTACGGATGCGCTCCGGGGAGCTAAAGGAGGATGCAAAGGAGACGTATGGCTGCTTGGCTGTAGCTGCCTACGCGCGTGCTTCTGCGCTGCAGTAGGATAGAGGTATCCGAGGTAGCTCTTCCTACCGTGCAAGAGAGTTCAGCTGCCTCCCCGTTTTCAGGGGGAAAACAAAACAAGCCAGAGTGGGCTCCACTTCCCCAGTCCCCCTCCAAGCCCTGACCACAGGAGCTAGTCTACAGGCTTCTTGACCAGGCTTCACAATTTGCTTCAAAGACAAGAAGCTTGACTTTTTTCCCCTTCCATCTCCTCCCTTGGTTATTAACCAAGACTTTTTTTTTTGCTTTCTGAGACTCATTCAAGACCAGGTTGGATGGGGCTGTGAGCAACCACCTCTCCTATGAGGACAGGCTGAGGGAGTTGGGGTTGTTCAGTCTGGAGAAGAGAAGGCTACGGGGAGACCTGATTGCGGCCTTCCAGTACCTAAAGGGGGCCTATAGGAAAGATGGGGAACGTCTTTTTAGTAGGGCCAGCTGTGTTAGGACAAGGGGAAATGGTTTTAAACTAGAACAGGGTAGGTTCAGGCTAGAGGTAAGGAAGAAATTTTTTACAATGAGGGTGGTAAAACACTGGAACAGGTTGCCCAGAGAGGTAGTGGAGGCCCCATCCCTGGAAACATTCAAGGCCAGGTTGGATGGGGCTCTGAGCAACCTGATCTAGTTAGCAGTGTCCCTGCTCACTGCAGGGGGGTTGGACTAGATGACCACTAGTGGTCCCTTCCAACCCTAAACATTCTATGATTCTATGATTCTAAGA